AATTGTCTTGTAAGGATGCAATGTTCCATGCTTGCTCTTAATCCAAGAATTCATTTTTGAAGTGCCAAAAAAAAAAAAGCCAGTCTGAGTTATCTGTCTCACAGAGCAAAAGGAAATAATGTGTTACTTACAACTTTTAAGATCTGACACAACTGAAAAACAGTCTAAACTTCAAAAGTAGCTAACATCACTCAATGAATTTGAAGAAGAGTATTCACAAGTAGCTCTGTAGTTAAAATATTTCCTTCTGTGCTAAGATCAAAAGGAATCATTCGCACCCGTTGTACAGTTGCTTGTGACAGCATTTGTAAAATATACACCTGATGCTTCACAGGAAGTGAGTGGAGCTCAGGCCAGAAATACAGCAGAAAAAAAAAAGAGAAAAGTAAAGAGCGCCATGAGGTGCCTGACTGATTTATTCTGTTCTCAATCCTGCTTGTATGCTTCATCCTTCATACTGCTTGCCAGAGGCTTCATCTGGTGTCAAGGTGTTGAAAGGGAAACTAAACCTTATAGCTGGTGAAAGCAGAACTCACAACTCATTCTGCTTCTGCCTGTCAATGTTGTTATACAACTGGTCTTCTTCCTTCATCATATCCATGTCCACAATGAAACAGGCATGGTTTGGTGCCCCTTATATGCAGAAAGTTGAGGGCAAGAACCTCTGACAAAGCTATGGGTGAAGTGCAATTCATGATAGGTATTATATGTAGCACCTCACAGGAGACTTAAATGTCACCAGAACTATGGAAATACTTAAAAAGCAAGGAATTCTACATTTATTCTGTAATGCTTTCATAGCAAGTGCTTAACAGAAAGTTAATGGATAATGTATTCTCCTCCTTTTACAATGGAAAGCTTTTGACCAAGGCCACCAATAAAAACATCAAGAATAACAAGTGCTTTGTTCACCCCACTTGCACCTCCAGTTTTGAAGGAACTCAAGATTTGAAGTTCCTTTCACAAATATCTTGGATTAAGCTTATAGCACAGAAAGATGTAAGGGTTAAAACAACAACAAAAAACAACACAGTTATTTCCCAGACCCATCACAAACAGCAAGACCCTGATAAGTTGTCTTGGTCGTATAACAGCATGCCAAAGCAAATGCCGCGGAACTGCTACAGTCAGCCTCTTCAATTCATCTACAGAAGAACAGGAATGGAGAAAAGATTCTGTATCACAACTACTCCACGAAAAAGTAGCTTGAGAAGGTCCACTTCTTCCCACAACTTGTTCCATTTCATAAATTATGATTTTCTGACTCCCATGTATAACAATGCTAACTTTGTGGAGCTGTGCTATAAACCAGACCAGTGGAGCAATCCCAATTAAAGGAAGGTTGCTTGCTTAAAAACACCTGTATGGATTACTTCAGTCAAACAGATTTACAGCAGAGCCTGACATTAGGATGAGATGGGAATGATGAACTCTTACAGTACCTTCTGCAAATCCAGTTTATCATGGACTAATACAATGAGACAGCAGAAAACACCACTGGTGAAGGAGAAGACCAGAAAGAAAGGAAAGAGAATATTGCTACTCAACTGCAAACTTGAATTTTCTACTTCAGTGAAACTAAACCTATTAGAACGAGTTCAGAGGAAGGCCATGAGGATGATCAGAGGGCTGGAGCACCTCTCCTGTGAAGACAGGCTGAGGGATTAGGGGCCTGGAGAAGAGAAGGCTCCGGGCAGACCTTGCAGCAGCCTTAGTTTCCAGTACCCAAAGAGGGCCTATGGGAAAGCTGGGAAGGGACTTTTTGTCAGGCGGTGTAGTGATAGGACAAGGAGCAATGGCTTTAAACTAAAAGAGAGGAGATTTAGATTAGACACTAGGAAGAAATTCTTCCCTCAGAGGGTGGTGAGGCACTGGCACAGGCTGCCCAGAGAAGCTGTGGATGCCCCATCCCTGGAGGTGCTCAAGGCCAGGCTAGATGGGGCTTTGGGCAACCTGGGGTGGTGGGAGGTGTCCCTGCCCATGGCAGGGGGTTGGAACTGGGTGATCTTTAAGGTCCCTTCCAACCCAAACCATTCTGTGATTCCATAAAGAATATGATATATAAAAAAAAATCTAGGGATTTACAGCAACCATGCTCTATTCTTGTTCTGTGCTTTTAAGAGTGTGATTTTTTTTAAACACAGGTTTTTAAATAATGATGCAGATATTTTTCAAGTGCATGATTCAGATCACGAATGTTTAATTGATTTGTCAAGGAAAAAACCAGAAAACAACTGGAAATACACACACACACAGCTGCAGGGAAGAGAAAATAACAGTCAGAACATATTTGAAGAGTAACAACAGGACAGCATCACAGAAGCTCTGCAAGAATACAACATCAAGATACAGAGAATTATTGGCAATACCAAAAGCCACAGAGGCCAGGGAGGGGAAGAAATGAGGGGAAGCCTCTGAACTTGGCCAGGAGGAGTATGTGGAGGGCTTAATGAGGTAAATTGCAGCTCTGCACACAAATAGCATTGGAAGAACTTCGTATGAAGAAAGAGGAAAGAATGTACAACAACAGATTCAGATTTCATGTTCCAAGAGTTTGGAAAAGAAGGAAAGCAGACTAGAGCTGACTGTCAGTTTTACAGATGAAGGACAGTAACTGTGAATAAAATCAGGTAGGGAATATGATGCCAGGAAAAGGCAAAAAACACACATTGGGAGTTAAAATGGAATGAATGGGACTTTGGGGCCAGGCTCAAGCAAACACGAGAATCCAAAGGTAAACATGCCAATTCCAATTGTGTTTTTTTGGAAGCCTTTAGATTCTGCAGGGAAAGAGATACAGGAAAAAGCCTAAGGCAGAGCTCCTGACAGCTTGCAAAGCAAAGGAACTAGTGAAATGAATTGAGAAAAACAAACAAACAAACAAACAAAAAAAAAACAGGCAATTGAGTATGAAATATAAGACAGGAAGAAGGTGTTAAAGAAATCCACCTGGCTCTACAACCAGTCACAGGTATGTGCAGTAACGTAAATGAGATGAGGAGGTGGCAGTCATGAGAAAGGACTTGGGAGATGCAGTAACTAAACAAGAAAATGGCTGGCAAAGTCACAACAGAACTAATCACCTCTCTCAGAAACAAAAACGGGGATTAGCAGATGAAGATCAAACAGGCTAGGGAGCTGAAGAATAAACTTAATGAGAAATCAACTTGATAAAGTCATAAGGAATGAGGGTGAAGAATCGTGATGACGGTACATCAAAGGACAAGATGAAGCTAAACAGGTAGAAATAAGAAGTGAGGCAACATGAAGGAACGTCTGGTGGAACCCTGCTCAAGGAAAGCTTCAGAGGAAACAAGGAAAGGGGAAAATAAAAAGGCAAGGCTAGATGAGGAAGCCAACCTCTATTGTTAATGATAAAGGGAGGAGAAGACAGACGTTAGGCTGTAATGCAGTGTTGGTAGAGCGATTTCTGCAAACAATATGCCAGACGAAACTGTTGCTGGTAAAATATTCAGCAACCACCCTTTGATTTGGATTTCCTGAGGAAAGGCACAATTGCCCACGGTTTAGGAATTAAACAGCCAAGCATTGTTTATAGCTCAGTTACATATACGGGATGCTAGGGTCAATTACTGTACCACATCTTGCCACACACAGGGAAAGCAAATGAAAGGTTCGGCAGCATACTATTAACATCACGAGATCTGGCAGGGGAGCACAAATTTCTCCAGAAAACAAGATCAGTTACACGAAGCCTCTGGACAGGACAGGCAGTGAAAACCTCTGATCAGAGGATCTGTTTCTCCTGCTTTTGGCGTAGCGCTACCCCCCAAACCCGCCTGCTGCTTCATTTAAGGGCAGCGCAGAGCAGGGGGACGGCAATCCAGATTCACACACAAGACCCAAACAGGGGCTTGTTAAACACTTCGCAAAAGCAACCTGGGCGGAAATCGCCGAAAACAAGGCTGGGGGGAGGACCTGGACACAAAACCGCTTGCAAACACCAAACTCGCTCGCGGTGCTCCAAGTCTGCGCCGGCTCCACTTGCACCGCTCCTGACAGCTGCGTGCAGCCCTGCTGCCAGCACCCACCCCACGGGCACCCCCGGCAGCTGCTGCAGTGGCCTGGCAGCTCCCAAATCCCCTCCTTGCAGATGGGGGGGGTGGGGGGATGAAATATCCCCCCCACACCGCGATTCAGACCCCTGTTACCCCCTGTGCAGGGGAGGACGTGCACCGGACAGCTCTCCGCAGCGCTTTGCACGGGAAGGACTCGTTAAAAAAAATATATAAATAATAATAATAAAACGGTAAAAATAAACAGCAGGAAAGGGGAAGAAAGCCCCTGCCTGAAGGGCTGGCTGGCAAAAAGTCATCCCCGTGATGAGTCATCTGGGACAGCGGGCGGACTTTTCCCCCCTCGAAGCTGGGAAAGGGAAGGGGGGGGAGGAAGGAGGGAAGCCGGATCCGGCGACACCAGAAGCGACACCGCCGAGGGGACACCGCGCTCGGCAGGGCACGGCCGGTCCCCCCCGGAGCCTATTTTTATTTTTTTTTTGGGGGGGGAGGGAAAAATCTTAAATAAATGAACAGCGAGGGGCTGCGAGGGGGCTGAGGGGGGGAGACAAGGGGACACGGGATTAATGGGGCTGAGGGGCTTTGGGGCTGAGGGGCTTTAGGGGCGAGGCGCTCACCTGCGCGGCGGAGCTGCAGCAGCCCATGGCGGTGCCCGCTAGGCGCCAGGCGGCGGCGGGCAGGCGCTGGGCATCCACCCGGCGGCGCGGCCCGCCCCGGGGCGGTGGTGCTCGGCGGTGCTCGGCGGTGCTCGGTGCGCTGCTGCCGGTGCTGCCGGTGGTACCGGTGTCGGTGTCGGCGCTGCGCAGCCGCGGGGCGCGGGCACGGCTCCGGCTCCGGCTCCGCCGCGGCGCCCCCCTCGGAGGCGGCGGCGGGGCCGCGGGTGAGGGGCGGGGCCTTGAGGGGAGGTGGGCGGGGCTTGAGGGGGGGAGTGGGCGGGGCTTGTGGGGAGGGGGCGTGGCCAGCGCGCCGCAGCGCGGGGGGTACCTGCGCCAGCCCCGGCCCCGCCCCCGCTTCCCGCGCGGCCGGCGGCTTCCGGTGGCGCAGGCTCCTCTGCCCGGCAGCGCTGTTGCCATGGCAACAGCGGGCACGGCGCGGCCTGCATGGGGCTGGGCCAGGCCTCGCCTCTCTCCCTCTTCCCCCCCCTTCCTTTCACTCTCCCTCTGCCCCTCGTCTCCTCGGGTGGCGCCAGCCCCCGTTAGTGGTGTGCTTCATCCCTGCGTTGCAGCAGCTGATTGCCATGTGGCTGTGCAGCTGGCTGTAGTCCTCCCCCAGGCACCCCGTGTTTTTGTGCAGTGCCTGCCCCCCGTGGGGCTGGGGGGAGGTGGGTTTGGGGGCACAAACTGCGTGAGGATGGTGGGAGCCACATCAGCACAATGCAAAGCACCTTTGGACAATCGTGAACCACATCAGGACCGTGCAAAACACATTAGGGCAATGCAAACCACACCAGGACCGTACGAACCACATAAAGACAATGCAAACCACATCAGGACGATGTTTGATGTATCGATAACACGTAAAATCAGGCTTCAAGTGTAGGCTGGACCGCTTCTGTAAGCCACACAGTTAGCTATTGCCTGAAAGCTCCTGAGCCAGGTAACATCTCGTAGTCATTACTGGCAGCAAAGGCGACAGCTTTCCTCAGGATGAAACGGCGTTCCCCTTGGAAGCTCACAGCCCCTCAAAAGATGAGTTTATGTGGCGCAGAGATGGCCTGAATGCATGAAGTGACTCCAAATTTTAAAATGTTTTGCTGAATCTTTTCAGCGGGTTTAATTCAATCAGTACAGTAAGACTATCCATGAGTAGGAATAACACCATATTGATTTCAGCTTAAAATGATCCTTTGACAGGCAGAATGAGGCAAAAGAGGCCTTGTGACTAGAGAAGGAGTCTAGTTTAAGAGGCTTCCAAAATAGAACTAAAACTGGCATGTGGGTGAGTTGTGAATCATACGTCTTTTTTAGCTCTTCCTCAATGGCAAATAACATCACTTTTGCAATCTTCACTTTGGACTTTCTAACACTTGGGCTAAAATATCTTTTTTACCACTTGTCCACACCCTGACATTATTGTTGATTGCTCTGCCAGATTCTACCCAAATATTTCTGTTGTATTTGAAAGCATGACCATCAAAGAACTGTTCTGCAGGAACATGCTCTAGGAGACATGTTCCTTTTGTGGCTGACACAGGGACAGGTAACAAGAAACCCCTAGACATTTCTTGTCCGTCTTGGGACATGTCACTTCAGTTTCTCTGTTCCGCAGTATTGCCGTTTGTAAAATTGACCTTTGTCCCAGCACTGCTTTTTCATTTGCTTCAGTAACAGCAGGAAGATGAGAGTGCCATAGAAGTGATTTAGTCAGTTTGTTAAATAGACCTTTTTTTTTTTTTTTTATTAGTCCTTGTGTTTCATCCAAGTGTTGTCATTATAATTAAATACCGCCTTCTGCTTTCTAGTTACAGCCTTCACACGTTCAGCACGATTATCAGAGGATGGTAATGGATTAAACACAGGCTCTGCCCCCCACGTTTGTGGGCTCTTTCTTGCCAATAGTCAAAAGCTCTGCGTAGGGGGAATGGTAGATTTGTAGTGATTAAAGAATCCTGGGCCTTCAGTGGCTGGAAGAGCATTTATGTAAAAGCTTGTAAAGACATACCAGCTGTCGCATAGGTAACTGGGGTTTAGTGTAAGTATGTGACAACTGTGGGAAGCAATTGGACAAATCCGAGCCTTAGAAGTAATCACCAGAGTAATTGCCCTTATCTGTGCTTCTGCCCTGAGGAAATTAGTTGCATTTTTGACAGGGATGCAGCAGCAGCAATAGAAGTCTGGCTTTCCTTAGTTCAGCTCTGCTTTCTTTGGCCAGTCACACAAAGGGGAGGAAGAGTTAAAAGGTTCTTTCTTATTCATGTTTGCGCTTGCTTTTGTATTTATTCAGATTAGCATTTCAGGAATAAACTGGAAGGTAAAGAAAGGGGGATTGCTGAATCTTAATTCAGTAATACATAAGTTGAACTTTAAGCATATGCCTAAGTACCTTTTTTGAGTCATGTTTTATGGATTTCTTTCTGAAATTGATTATAATCTGCTCTAAGGTATCTTTACATTGCAAGCTGTTACAGTGTAAATCTGACTGCCCAGATTTAGAGTTAATAAGAATCTAGGTCTTTTTCTGTGGCAGATTTGAATCTGCCCTTCTCCCTTCAGCTAAGAAGGATGAGCTTCATCTCTGTTTTCATTTCATTGCTAGACTCAGAATGACAGGTTAGAGTTTCTGAAGTACCATCTGATATTCCGAAAGGGAGCACCACAGAGAAGGCCCTAAAATGACAAAATGGCTTTGGTACTTGAGTTAAATAAATTGTAGCTTATATCCAGACTGCTTCCACTCTAGGAAATGTAGGGAGGGGGAGGGGGCACGAAAAAGAAGATAAGGAAACATTCCGGAAGGTGTGAAATATGTGACAATATTTACCTTTTCTCACGAGATGTAAGATCCTGACCTTGGGCCCCCATGTTTAAACACTTAAGTATTTTACAAAGGTAAACAAAAAATAATAATAAAAAAATCCTTAGCTTCTATTACAAATTAACAGGAGACATGCCTGTCAAATAGCCCTAGATAAAACTGAGGTTTGTTGTATGTGTTCCCAAATAAGCGTGTTGGGATGGAGTTTTCAGGCAAGCTCAGTATTGGGCTAACTGCTTAATCAAAAGGAGGTCCAGATCTGCCCTGGTTGTTGAAGGAAGGTAAGAGTTATACCATGCAGTCTAAATATCGAGTACTGCAGCAGCAAGGTGTTGTCACAGTCTGTGTGTTCCCCTCCCTCTTCTAAAAGACAAACTCTGCTTGTTATCATTACACTTACTTCTTCCACCTACCACTGAATTTGCATGCATGAATGCTTGGCAACAACTCTGTGTTTTTAAAAATCCTATCCTCTGTGCTGTGCCTAGCCTCAATATTTGTTTTTGTTTGTTTGATTGTTTGTTTTAATCTGTTTTAATATAGAAAAACACACATTCCCTTCATAATCTGCCCTGTGAACAAGCTAGCTGTCTTCCTTTATACAAGTCTGTCCGTGCAGGATTTAAGAGTGATCCTGCTGATTTCAGAACACTAATGAAAGTACAATTTAAGAAGGCATTCCAGTAAACACACTCAAGTAGTATGTCTCTGAGCAATGTGGTGATAAAGCCCATTCACCTTCTCAGGTTTTTGAGGCCACATTATCTTCTATATCTAAGAAGCCACCTGAAACTGATTGTCTTCTTGAAGAGTTAAATGTGCTTTTATACTTGTTTACTGCTAGGAATTAAAGCACTTGTATTTGTGTTAAGTCACACACGACACCCGTTACGGAGCAGAGAACTGAAGATGTATCTTGTGAGCTGCAGCTTGTACACTCAAGGTCCTGTTGGTTAGGTGTTAGTCATGGCAAAAGCATTTGAGGTATCCCACTTTGCAGTTAGAACGACGGGATTCTTGCAGAATTGTTCACCTCTGACCAAGAGAAGTTATATACTGCTCAGTAACACTGAGCTCTCAGGTTAGAGCTAAGATTTTCTTCTTGCTACCTTTCAGACCACAAAGGAACAGATAATTCAATGAACTTACCGGGAAGCTCAGAAAACCTGCTGTGATTCTACTTTTTGCTGTAGTCCCATAAATCGATCAGGTTCGGTCTGTTTCAATTTGAGAACCAGAGACTCCAAGGAAAGAGAAAGAGCAACAGAAAGTTTTCTGAATTAATCAGGAGGGTGAATTTTTCCTTCCCCAATTCTGAATCAAGATTTTGGTCTACTGTAGTCTAGGAGATGTAAGAATTTGGTACGAGGTCAGAAGTGTACAGCAGAGGGGCTGTCTATTGGTGGCTATCCAAAAAATTTAAGACTCATTAGAAGAATAATATTTTTGTGTGTTGGCAAAATGCCGTTGTAAGCATCTGCTCTCAGCCTACAGTAGTCCATGGATGGTGTAATGAAAGTAAAATATCTTTTCTATATTAAAATATGTTGCTTTGCACGATGTAAAACCTGTTGGATTTCATTCTGATATTGGACACCTGTGCATGAAGAACTGTATGAATAGATCATTTCATGCAAGCAAAACATCTGCCAGACATTTATATCATTATCAACCTGAGCTGGAATCACGCTGGCAATTTGTAGCTGAAATGTTCCATATCCAGCATCCAACCCACTGAGAAATACGCTCTTCATAAAATGTTCTTCACAGGAGCTGGGATGGTGCTGATGCACAGTGGGGAAGGAGAGATGTCCGACTGATGGCATAGTAGTAACCAGAAAAATGTTATTTGTTTCAGCTTTGTGAGAAAGTTTTGTGTTGCCCCAAGGAGACATGGAACACCAAGCGCAATTCTTCCAGCGGAGGCAGTATCATCATAATACATGATTAGCCATTACAATCTCTTGTCATTTCGCTCTAGGAGAATTATGGCTCTCACACTGAGGATGTACGACTACAGATGGAGCACTGCCTGCTACAAATCTCTTTACTGCTGCCGTAAATCTCTTGGAGGAAAGTTACTGCATAAAATAAAGAAAACAAAATCTATGCTAAAGGGACCTGTCATTTGTTTTCTTATGGAAGGTGGTATGAAGGGAGGTTCTACTCCACTCTGCACTCCTTAATGTCATGCAAGAAAGCATTCATCAAGGAGTATTCAGCTTAGTCTCAGAGTAAGACAAGAAAGGAGACATAGCAATATTCGGTGTGTTGTGTGACTCAGGTGTTCTGTGTAGTACTTTGTGTGAGAAGGAAGGACAGATAGAGACATTGCTATCCAGAAGCTGTCTTAAACTGTGGTGGATTTTACATTAGCTGCAGTAGTGGCCAAGCAGAAGTTGCTAGATTGTGGATGCCCCCTCTCTGGAAGTGTTCAAGGCCAGGCTGGATGGGGCTTTGGGCAACCTGGTCTGGTGGGAGGTGTCCCTGCCCATGGCAGGGGGGATGGAACCGGGTGATCTTTAAGGTCCTTTCCAACACAAGCCACTCCTCGACTCCACAGTACTACGACACTGTTCTAGACATTTGGCTGTGGAGGATGTCAGTGTCACCTTCAGAGCTGGCATTCAATTCAGGTGCAGACTTAAGACCTAACTTGGTGCTTTACCATTGACACAAACTCTTACAGATGTACTGTAGGTGAACAGACACCAACAGAGATCAAAAGACTGACGGGTAATCTGTGTGCGAGTCCTGGATTTGAAACTTTGAGGGTGAGTTCTACCAGCAAGGTGGTTAGAGAGATGGGACTGTCACAGGGCTTGGCCTAATTCAGCTCCATACTGTAGATGGCAGAACACATATACAACCAGTGCAGCTGGCAGTGACAGCTAACAAAAGATGCAAAGGGCTTCTCCATGATTTGCACATGGAGTTTTTGCTCTAGGCTGGGTTTTAAAGGCCCCAACCTGGTTGTTGTGACTGGCTATCTGAAGAAACTCAGTTGTGGTGTTCTCTGTATCACTCACGTTCACCTTTAAAATGAGGGTATCAACAATTTGAAAAGCAATTTTTTTTATACAGTTCTCCCATTCCAATTAAAATAAGTACAAATATAAGTAACGAGGAATCAAGATCTATTTGAAATTGAGGTTCTTAATTTACATTTCCTACAAATGCAGACGTACTTATCTTTGAGCTCAAAACAAAGTGCTTTGCTTATTAAGTGCTTTTGCCTGTAAATGCTCATAAGGATGTCGGAAAATCGAGGGTGAGGTTAATTGTTCTGCCTCAAACTAAATACGGAGACTCTCAGAAGTTCTGTGCACCCATCAGCTCCTGTGAATCTCAACTTTTTTCCTGAAATGAAAAAAAATAAAAATAAAAAAATTCAGATTGCTTCTTTAAGCAAATAACTTTTGAAAGGGATAGAGCTAGTGTGACCTGTCTTAAGGACTTTCATCCTTCCCAGCCCTGGACAGCTACATGATGCTGTGAGCAATATATATATGCCTCCAGGTTGCATCTGTTCAGCAGTATCAGGTATTGCACTGCCTGTGACCTCTGAGCCAGGCTTCTGCTGGCTGAGGACAGGTGTGAAGTGTGCATTTCGTTATTTAATTCGCTTCCGCTGAGCTCTGTAGAAGACAATGGCAATATTATGAATCTGATAGGTGAGAATCTCTGTTGTTGTTTCGGGAGAGAATTTAGCTGCATACCTCTGTTACCTATGGGAATAACGGATTTAATGTGTTCTGACAGCACCCGTATCAAAGGAAGAGCGTATCTATTTTCCTCTGCAGTTCCTGGAGTAATGGCATTTCAGCGATTACTGTAGCATAACAGCACTTGTTTTTTCTAGAACAATACTTGTTAACAGTTTGAGAAGTCATTCTGTGGTTATTAAGAATTGAGGCCTCGGTTTGGCAAAATGCATTTATCTGTAATAGTACCACAAAAGTCCACAGTACTGTCGACATGCTTACCTTTAAGCTCATAACTAAGTGCTTTGCTTAGTGAAAGCCTGTTAGCGTTCATAAGAATGTTGGAATATCTGACCCAGTGCTACATTAATTTTCCCACCTTGTATCATTTCCAATGACATTTGCAAAACCTTAAACTTATCCCCTTCAATTAAATGCCTGGATAAATCTCTCTTGGAGTTCAGATTCCACATATTTCCGTTGCTTTGTTCCAACAGGTCTATGTTTCTTTTAAAGTCATTTTCCTTTCTGTATTGGACTGTGTAGGCTGCAAAGGGCTATGGTCAAGGTGACAACATGCTACAGTGACACAAATGGGATACATTCAATTCCTGACATCTACTGTGCACTGCAGTAGATGTATAATCAATTCGGTAATTACTTTAACACCCTTTCTTCTCAACAATACAGCATGGAAAAGACTGGCTTTTGCAAGTCGCAAACATATAATAGAACCATGGACTACAGAGGAAAAAAAAAAAAGCCTCTTTTTACTGTGTTCAGGGCAAGCTGACCTGCACTTTGACAAAAATCAAGATGATTGTATCTGCAGTATTTGTTTTGTGCCATCAACTTACTACACAAAAATATGTCATGAAAAGAAAAAGGGGAAAATGGGTTAAAAAAAAAAAAAAAAAAAAAAAAAAAAAAACAGGACTAAAGCAACAACAAGCACAGCAGTCAAGTCATAATAATTCTCCAATAATGAGGATGAGAAAATGGACTTTGGCATTGTGTGAGGTTTAGTAGATTATTGTCTGGTGGTCAAGCAAGCTGAGTTCTGTTTCTAGATCGGCCAGTAGCTTACATTGCTAGTTTGTACCACCTGTACACTGCTAGCATTGTGCCTGTAACAGAAAATATATAGGGCAGTAAGATCATTAATTGTAGAAGAATGCTCTGCAATCTCGGGAGAGGATTTTACATCTATAGAGAGAGTTTTCCATAGAACCAGATTATCAGCAGGCACACATATCAGCCTTTCTGTAGCTGATGCAGCCTCATACTAACAGCTGTTGGGTCCAAGGCCACAAAAAGCTTGGGTGGGGGGGAAAAAAATCCTTGCCCATCTGCAATAATCACTATCATATAAGCATAAAGAAAAACCATTGAATAATGGCTGACATCATTCTTGACAAGAGCATTTTCTATTAAATTCTTCAAGCATTTCTTCTTATCAGCAGTTTTATCTTTGATTACCAGGTCTTTGATTACCCACAGGCTATGGACAGCCTGCAGAATAAGCAGAGATACATTTTTTTCTCATTGTTTGTTCAAACTCAGAAGTATTTTACAGCAACACAATCAGTCAATGTGTTTAGTTTGTTTGTTTGTTTTATTTTTTTTTGTTTTGTTCTGGCTACATTTGTTTCATTTGGCAAAGTAATGGGTGAATAATATCCACGGAGTAAATTGTTTTATAATGTGTGGCAAGCCAGACTTTGTCTATAGGATTTTTTTAATTTGCCCATGCTGTAATGGTTAACTGAACAGTACTCCACAATATTCTGGTTTCTCTTTGCATCATGCAGGTGCAGGCTGCTAGTCACCTGCATCAGGTTTACCTGCTATTACCGCTTTCATTAGCAATACTTTTAAGTTTCCAGGGAAGAAAATACTTTGAAAATAAAAGCAGGAATAGTTTGCCTGCAGATAACAGGCTGACAGGCCAAATGTTGTAGCTTCACTTGAAGATAATCTAAGCTTCACTTGTTGAGCAGGTGACACTGAGAAACAGGTATGTCGCTGTGTCATTGGAACAGGTGGCAGACAAGCAGAAGTGTTTAACTTTTGTTGCAGTACTAATGAAAGTACAATTATGACACAGAAATGAGACATTAGTGTGAAGGGACCCAGGCAAAAGAACACGAGGGGAAGGTGGGATGAGTGTTAATAATGAACTGAAGAGGTTTTCTTTATTCCTTCTGTCACTGTCCCTCTTGCCTTGCTGATTAGATTCCAGCAACCTGACCAAGCAGCCAGCTACATGTAGACCTCAACAGATGCTGGGTACAAAAACTGCAGCTTTACCAGTTTTCATGTTACTTTGGAAAACTCCTAGGGTGGGGTATGGTGACTGGTAGGGTTGCTCTTGTAGCCATTTTTGGTGAGGGGTAGACTGAAGAGCGCGTCACTTTCAAATTCCAGAGATTTCTCGAGACAGCTTTCAAGCCAAAAGATGGAAAACATTTAAATATGGAAGAAGGGTCTTCGCTTGTGTTGCTGTTGCTGTGGATTTTTAACAGTGCTGCGGGAAGGCTGTTTATTTTACAAAGCTGGAGCCTATCCATCAACTCTATCCAAGGTAGTGGCTTGTAATATCCAATTACCAAAAACCTTCTTGCAAATTTTAAAGTAGGTGAGGAATCCTCTCCTTGCTTGCTCCAGATTTTTGTTATGTAGGGTCCAGAGGGCACCCCCTTCAGGGAGTTTAGTTGGCTGAATTCAGTTTAGCAGTTGGAGCCCAAGGTCTGCTCCCTCCCTGGTAGGAACTGTTGTGAAGGAAGCTGGAGGAGAAGGCCTCCCACTCCTCTCCCCCGGGGGCTGCTCTTATGCTGAGGCCTTACCACCAAGCCCTGCCTGTGCAACATCACAGCAGAGGTGGCAGCTCTCAGTCAGTGCTTGACAGCTCTCTGCCAGGCATGACGTTGGACTGCCTCATCACTGGATTGTGTCTGACTCTGCCCACCTTCTCTGGCCCTGATCCAGACCTGGATGTGCTGCTCTGCATCCTGGCACCTTGTTGGTGAGGCCTCTGCTCACACCAGCCGTAACGAAGCCACAGGTTCCCCTTCCCTTGTGGAGCAGCCAGCTCCCTCGCTGCTTCCCCACGCAGACAGCTGGCCGAGGGCATGGCAGGTCTATGTTTGGGAACAGGAGCAATGAATGAATGAAACCTGTAAAAGACAGGAAGATTTGTGCATGAACAGAGAAAACACTGTTTCTCTGACTGTCAGACTACTTTTGTTAGACATTGGACTTAACACAATAAAACCTCCTTGTCAGTGGTATAAGGTGACCATCCCACAATTACAGATTTTAGTAGCTATTTGTTCTTCAGATTTATAAAAAATAAAAAAGATTTGAGATTTTTTCTTTTTAAAATATAAAAAAAGCTGCTTAATGAGCTGAT